CTACCTCGCTACCAAGTAGTTGAGTAAGGCATAAACCCTGAACAAGATCTCCCTATCTCCCCAGTTGTCTCAGTTGCAGCACAGGGCAGAGCAGGATGAGGAGGAGAAGGACAAGATCAAGCAGAGGATGACCGGGTTTGTCAGTCAGGAGAAAGAAAAGTTTGAGAGACTGGCTACACACATGAAGACCCAACAGAGAGATCTGCTGGCAAAGAGTGCCCAGATTCAGCAGGTGAGCGGGAGGGAGGGGAGAGAGGGAGAGAAAGATGCTGTGAGGGGAGGGAGGGGGGGAGAAGAAGATGCAATTAGTACATGATTTTGGCAAACAATGAACATTTCCCCCATTTAACCTTCAAAAAACTAGGTGTCCTTTGAGTGTGCTTTATTTAGAAGTCCTTTCCAGAGGTTCAACTGTAACTTGTGGCATACTCTCTTCCTAAATCCAGGTGAAGGAGTTGATTCGCAATTCTCCTCATCTTGCCCGAACTCCTCTGAGAGATACCAATCAAACCATCACCATGGCGAAAACTACGGCAACGCCACCTGCCGCCTTCGCCAAGGGCAATGCACCTCCGATAAAGGGCAAAGGTCGTAAGAGATCAGCGTCGGAGAACTGGTTGGAACATGTCCCGTCGAGTACTGTGGAGAATGGTGAGGTTTGGTGTCGATGACGTAATGTATCTATGGTGGTTGTGTGTTGATGACGTAATGTCAGTTGTTAAAACGTGCCTTAATTAAAGGGAATCGTGGCAGTAAATGAGGGCTAAATTTCAAATGGAAACCTACTGGGCCTTATTGTGAATTCAGCATTCATATACTGCCACATTCTCTTTAACTGTCTGTTTTGGAGGCTGGCAAGTAGAAGGGTTAAAGTGGATGCTATAATCTATAGCTACAGCTGCAAATCTTGTTTAACCTGCTCCCCCAGGAGGAATCCTGCAACCTCAGTTGAAGAAGAAACGAACAGTCAGTACCCCCAAACCAAAGGACTTCCAGTCAAAGAGAGTCGGTCGCTACGTTCTCCAGCACCAGGAGGAAGACTCCGATGGAGACATCAAGACCGCTCTTTACAAGGTACGTCATATGTATAATACATACGTACATGTATAATTGAAGGGGTCAGAGTCAGAGCAGGCCAACCCTCAATATACAACTCTTGCCGTTTTTCCTTCAAATAATTATGTTCTAAATGTCCTTATAGAACAAAAACCGGCACGATTTGTATATATGAGGTGGCCCACGCGTGGCTCTGACCCTTCATTTATGCTGTGAGATATGTCTAGCAGAGTTCTTGGTCTGAGTTGACATTTGTGTAGTGCCACGTATTTTTCCGGCAAGGGTTGTTAGTTTAGACAGAACTTTTCGCGGATGAGTTGGCGAACATTGTTGACCCAAAATTGTTATTCTTACTTACTTTATTGTTATTCTTACTTCATTACTTGTTGTGAAAGTGGTGGTGTCATTCTGCCAGGGGGATATCCAGCCAACTCGAGGTGGGGGAACAAGTGTCACATTCACTGGAGTAGAGACACACAGACACTCCAGCCAGTGCATCCTGTCACTCCCAAAAGTCACCAGAAGATCCAACAGGTAGGTACATTTTTACACTGTCTCTGGCAAAATATTACATAATGTGCTGATATAAATTTAAGAAGTGTGATTGCTGCATGTGTTCATCAAGCTGCGCTACCTTCTTTCCTTCCGTCAGAAACTGGAACCATTTGTAATTGAATAGCACAACACCTTCAATTCCACCACACACCACGTTAACATCTGTTACAAGTTTTTGCGCTCCATCTCTTTTGTACTTTTTTCCCTTTTAATTTTGCCATTAAACCTTCTTCTCTCTCTCTCCCACGCAGACTAGCGGTGCGTGGAGGCAACCCGACGCGACCAGCTCTCTCCTCTGGAGGAGGGCAGAGCCCGGACCACTCCATCTCCTCTCTCTCCTCCACCTCCGTCTCTTCCTTCATGGACCACTCTGCCAGAGGAGGAGGAGGAATGGAGGGTGATGGAGAGGAGGATTCTTGGACTGACGTTGAAACTAGAGTGAGTGGGGGGGTACAGGGTGAGTGGGGTACAGGTGGGCTCGTTCCGTTAACTGCGTACTTTAACACTTTGCAAGTTTTTTTTATATGATGTGTTTGTGCAACTTGTGTGTGGTGCATTCAACTCCAAGTTATACTAATTATCAAACAATCTTGAAATTCTTACACATTGCTCATAGTGAGCCATACATATTACATGCTCTATGATGCAATACATTTAGGGTCTTCTGAGTAATGATATTGAATTTCAAGCACACTCGACATGTACACTAAATCAAGGATACCCGACAGATGCTGGATTAGCCAACCCTAACCGAAACTCCTCTCTCGCTCCAGCTGCAGTGTGCTATAGCTGTGGAGGGAAGACCAGGTTCAGCCCAGCCAGCTCTCACCCACCAGACCATCACCAAGAAATAACGTCTCTCTCTCTCTCCCCTCCATTGGCTCTTCCTCTGTTTTACATTCAACCCTAGCTGTCAATAGTTTCAGGCCCGTTTTATTATAACCCTCTGTGTTTTTATTAGAGCTCACCATGTCCAATGTCTGTGTTTTGCCATGTTTTGCATTTTACAACAGTACCAGTACCACCATGTCTTTGGTCAACTTTTATTGTCCTAGCTGCGCATGCGTACGAGTGTCCGCAAGCAGGAAGTGGGGGCGTGGCTTCACGATGATGGCTATACAGCTGAGCGCACGCAGCCGCTAGCTAGCTGCAGAGGGGACGTGCTGCAGATATGGAAGAGGGGGAGAAAGGTCGGGGAGATTCAGCAGTGCTGCCGTTCTTCCAGACGGGGAAGGTCGTGAAGGGCTTCGGAAGAGGCAGCAAGGAGATTGGCATCCCCACAGGCGAGTTTTATAGCTTCCTTCCTCACTCTCTACATCATAGTGCTCATTACTAATAATCGCAAAGTAAAAGACAATGGTGTAATTTTATCTCAAAAGTAGAAGACTTTATACTTTTGCATTAGCAGAGCAAAAGTGATGTTAATTTATAGAAAATGTCCTTCATTTAGTTGAATCGGGGACATCAAAACTCTTTCACTCTGGTGATAAAAATACGCCAGTATTAGTGCAGAACAAGTGGCATTTATTGAGTGGTCTGCAATGTCTTTACCCAAACTCCCTCCACCACAGCCAACTACCCAGCTAGTGTGGTGGAGCACCTGCCGCCATCTCTGGCGAGTGGAGTGTACTGTGGGTGGGCCCAGGTGGCCAGAGGGCCTGCGTATCCCATGGTGATGAGTGTCGGCTGGAACCCTCACTTCCAGAACAAAGAGAGGAGCATGGTACCTTTATATGTATTATTGCAAACAGGGAGTCACCACATGTAGTTCATCCCCATGGCAATAGTAGTGAGAAGACATGAACATTGTGATGTTCTCTTGTCATGTTGATCTTGCAACCTCTGCCACTACACCCACAATACCATGGCTACAGTGGGAAAACATGAGCATTTTCGTATTCCCCGGCTGGCTGCCACTACCTGCATACCTTGACTAGAGTAAAGGAAGCACGTTTCTCCTTGACAGGAGACTCACATACTTCACGTCTTCCCAGAGGATTTCTACGGAGCTGAGCTGAGAGTATGTGTGGCTGCCTTCATTAGAGAGGAAAAGAGCTTCCCTTCATTAGGTACATATACATGTTGGTGTAATGAAAATTCGTAGCACATTTTCTATAGCGAGATGGTGCATACGCCATCTGTCTGATTTTCAAGGCCTGAGTGCGGAACGGATCTCGCCGCTTTGGTTGGATTCTTCACCGTCACTCCCACTTGTAGTGCTAACCTGTAATACAGGGAAACCAAGAGACACCATTGGGAAATTAAGTCTCCTCTGTTCAGAGGTGTTCTCTAGTCTCACTAATGTTATGAGGCAGAACAAGTGTCCTCTATTCAGAGGTGTTCTCTAGTCTCACTAATGTTATGAGGCAGAACAAGTCTCCTCTATTCAGAGGTGTTCTCTAGTCTCACTAATAGTATGAGGCAGAACAAGTCTCCTCTATTCAGAGGTGTTCTCTAGTCTCACTAATGTTATGAGGCAGAACAAGTCTCCTCTATTCAGAGGGTTCAATCTTCCCCACAGAATGTCTGAAGAAGGAGATCCACAAAGACATAGAGACGGCAAGAGAGAGGCTAACTCAGCCTGCCATGGCAACCCTCGCTAACAAACTAGTCTCCTGGACTGCTGACTCAGCATAATCTCCTTCTCCTAGCTCCACTCATGCGATTAGTCGCACTTTTGATTATTTTTTCCTCAAGTAGGCTTATTTTTTAGTGCTTGTGTAGAAAAAAACAATTTTATATTCGGCATAGAAGTGACTTACATACTTATGAATTGACTAAAATTGACACACAAAATGGCTGACATAATCGTGACTGACGTGAAAAAGTTTATTTCCTGACTGGAGCTGCCAGTATCTGAGATCTGATGGCGAATATCTTGTCTATCACAAACTCCAAACCTAACTGAGCCTGCGTGTGAGGTCAGAGGTCAGAGGTCAAAGGTCACGCCATTAAGAAAGTGAAACAAACCGTGTCAGCATTCTTGCGATATCTCTCGACTCCAAATTTCTCAACTGCCAGAGAAATTCCTCGAACTTTGCAGCATACCCATGCCTCCTTCTTACATGACGTCCTTAGGGAGAGAGATTTACGTTCTTAGAGTTATTATATACTTTCTAAAAAAAATGGAAATTCTTCTATTATCTTATATACCTCTTATCTAAATTAAGCCCTTATGTATAATATATAAGACTGGCACATTCCCTGAAAACGAGGGACAATCAGCGTCCTTTTTTCAAAAGGAATTTTACTCATTCAGAGTTTTCACTGCAAAAGGTACTTTTCTCACAACCATATATATACATGTGCAGAATCAATCTCGTCTCTAACCATTCCTTATTTTCTGGGGAGACAGTATAGATGGCCTTCTCTTCTACTGTCATGAGCTTGTTGAAATTGACATTCCTCGTGTACGTCGTAAAGGTCTTGGTTGCCATGTCAACCTCTGACTCTTCAACAATGCATGCCGACGCCCCCTTACCACCAACAAACTGAGGAGGAGAAAATGGAGAGAAGTAGAGGAACAAACATGTGTGTCTGACTCACTCTCTCCAGCCACTTTGGGGCAGAGTTTGTTTTCCTCAGCAGTCGTCGTGACAACAACCTCCGACCCCTGCTCTGTCTACTGAGGGTGTCCTCGGAGAGCACGTGATTGCTGTACGGATTAGGGTAGCGCTGCCACAGCGCCTGGGCCACCTTTTCCCATGGGGTCCTAAACCAGACAAAGCCAGAACCTTATTTCTCTCTACTGACGATAGGGGCGGTGTCTGTTGGCTCACCTGTACGTGTATACGTGAGAGTGGAAGAGTCCGAGGTGCCTGGAAACCTTCCCCTCCTCTCGAGACGTTCTCCCGCCAGCTCCAGAGTCAGGGGAAGACATGTTGTGGGCGATTGACCTTTGACACCCCCGCGAGACATTTGTGCGCATGCGTGTGAAGAATATTACGTAATCTTGTCGGCCGAGCGCAACACTCATGCGCAGTAACTCTCCATTAGCTCTCCACAGCTCAGTCTGCAGTAACTAACTCCATTAGTGTAGTCTCAACTCTATTGGTGTGTCCCACAGGACATTCTCACTGATACTAACCGACCTAATCAGCACAAATGGACACCCCAACCCGATTATATAGCCAACCCCTACTGTTGTATAATCAAATAGGAACAGTAGGCACAAGCATATTAATGCATGCAGACTGGTGACAATCTGCCGGAGCAAGCAGCCAGTGAGAGATTTGTCGTCTGAATCTGGAAAGAGATATGCAGTGGCTGCAGGTCACAGTGGTCACTCTGCTTCTCTTTGACTGCTCATCAGGTATATACTTTTATACAGTAGCTATATAACCTCCTCCAACTGAGCACTTGTGTCTATTTTATCTGGCAAATGCCCAGAGGACGAGCTTTGGAACACTTACCATTGTGTGTTTTGCGTCATGCAAACGTAACCAAGATGGCATCTTGCAATAAACTTCTGAAAACTAAACGCCATTTTACATTTACATCAAGCCAATTTTTTTATGCATCGCCCATTGGAGAAGGGAAATAAGCAAGAAATAACAAAACAGTGCGATGTAGAGAATGGGGGAAAAATTAGTCCAATCTTCCACTCCAGCTTGGTTCTATTCTCTCTCCTCTCTGGAGTTCCTGGAGCTTGCCTCCTCCTCTGCCAACCTCACTGGGTCTCTTCCTCGGGGAGACGAGGTGAACTCTGACCCCATCTCCCTGCCATATGGCTTCCCTTTCTCCAATGAAACTGAGTCCGTCGTTTTTGTAAGTTTCTTTACTGCAGTTTTGACAATGCCGGGCATCTGGTATCTTTGTAAAGTCCTTAATCCTTGTATTAACTAATGTCACGATCGTCGCTAACAACACTTGAAAAAAATGGACCCTTGGGCTTATGGACATGTGTGTCACTCAATGCCTAACATCTTGCGTCACTGTGTTGTACATAGGTGAATGTCAATGGATATCTATCCTTCAGAACAGCTAGAGACTATGCCAGTCCTGGATGGTTTAGAGCATTCCCTGATGTGTTTAGCTCAGCCCCTGTCTATTATCATGTCATAGCTCCTTACTGGGATGACTATGACACCACCAACCAAGGTTTGTTCGACCAGAAAACAAGCAACACACAGTAACTGTCTCTATGAGCTACACTATAATACTTCTTACTGTGTGCGTTAGTGTGCTTCATTAATAACCCGGGGCTTACCCTCACAGGTGAAGTGGCTTACGAAGTACACACTAGTGGAAATCTGCTGGAACAAATCAACTCAGCAATCAGCCAGGAAGTGGGTGTGGTCTTTGAAGGGGTGTGGCTACTGGTGGTTTACTGGAACAATGTCACCAATGCTCAGAGCCTTGTACAGGCAAGTTGCTCACAATACTAAAATCCCAAATCTGTGGTTCAACTACCAAGTACTTTATAGGGACAAGCAATGTATGTACGTACCTAGCATCAGTATGGGACTATGATTATGTGATCTTATTATGAGGACAGAGTGTATTACACAAGGGATTATGAAAACTAACACAGGGGAATGGCTACACATTGGGTCAGCTATGACTCCCTAATGATATTACCCTGCCTATAATCAGGACAGCTTCCAGGGAGTGTTGGTGACAGATGGCACCAAGTCCTACTGCCTATTCCTCTACCAATGTGACCTTCTGGAGTCCTCCAGAGCTTCCATTGGCTTCTCATCCTCTGGCAACTTCTTCTTCAACCACCAACTGTCTCTCTCCCCCAGTTCCAGTGAGGTTGCCTGTGGCAACACTCCTGACAGCAACTGGAACTCTCTCCTCTACCAAATACATTACGATGGTATAGTGATAATAATAATCCAGGAAAACTTGCTATCATCTATGATTATTGCAGGAGTGAAGTTGTATATCTCGACTTATCCTAAAGGTCCTATCTTCCAAGTCGGCATTCGCGTTTTTTTTTACTGCAGAGTTATTACTCCCGGCAGCTTATCGTACCATTTCATAGACTACTGCCTGTCGTCTGGTACTGAGGTGGTGGTGTACCAGACACCACCGACCACAAACATTTATAGATAGCCATATAATAAACTCGACTCCAGACTACTGTAGAGATGTAGTGTTGTGCAGGGCGTGGGACGATGCTGGTTCGACCGCAGAGACCAAGTATGATTTGAAACAACTCACTGGTCAGTACCTAGAACAATCTGGTATATAGGTGTTTTTGCAATCACACGGATCCCATAGACAGTTGCGAAATAAATATCAATAGTTACGTATTGTGTGTGACAGTGTCTTCGTCGTTGTTGAAAGAAACCATAAACCATGCATTCATATGACTAAGTATGGCACACTTAGATGGCCAAATTGGAGGGTCATCATAATTATATGCTTACAGCCTACTGCCCCTTTCTTCCCACTTTTCTGCTTTCTTGGAACATGGCAAAGGTGTTGGACTTGTCTCAGACTACAGATTTGGGATGTCCAACAACAGTGGCATAGAGGCAAACTCTGCCCACACACTGGGGAGTGTGAACTGCCACTCAGCCTCCAGTCAACCCAACATTGGCAGGTGGATCGATCCCAGTGGAGAGGAGATCCCATTCCTTGGGAACCACATATTCCAGGTCCAGTTCTACACCGCCACCTACCACAGCTACACTTCTATCACCCTCAAAGAAGGTATATAGGGCTTACACAACAGCTTTTGTCTGGAACGAAATAAGGAGCATTCACAGGCCTTATTCTGAAATAGCCCCCCTCACATTTAGCTGATTTGTTGACCTTTGCTTAATTACCTCCTTGTTGACGTGTGTTTAGATGGAGAAGCACCCACAAGGAATGGCAGTATAATAATTATAATACCCTGATTGCAGGATGTCAGGAGTTCCAACCTCACCTATAATATTATATATAGGGCTTTGGGGGGAAAGAGTTTTCCTTGGTGTAGTAGCTTGCCTTGCTTTGCCTTAACCTCGTTGATGACACATGGGCAGTGCCTGCAGAGTTGGTAGCTTTACACACCTATACTGGTCTCTGTGATGTAATCATGCCCAGGTGTCCAGTTCAGCAGGGAGGATGAAGGAGTCTACAGTTGCATCATTCCTGATGAGAATGGAGAAGAACAGACTCTTCATTTTGGTCTCTATGACTACGGCTACACCTCTGGTGCGACAGTATAATTATACTTACTTACTCTAATCTCTCACGAATGACCCCTGAACACTTGTAAAACTCTCAAGAATATTTTCACAATAATTATCAACTGTTCCAGTTGTTTCGTCACTGCAGACCTCCCACCCCAGCTCATCTCTGTCCGATACATCTCAGAATATCCATTTGTCCTCTCCTGTGACTCCACCCACCTTCCTCCCTACCAAGTCCAGTGGGAATTCAGCGATGAAGACTCCTTCTCTTTCTCCTCTCACCTCGTTGACAGGAAAAACTCGACTTATGAGAACATTCTAGTCGGTCTTAATCCGGTCGGATCGACCTACAAATGTTCTCTGTCGGTGTTGGTTACAGGGGCATTCTCCACTTTAGCATATTATTAAATATGTGAGTTTACTAGGATGATTACGTAATCTTCATGATACGCAATGCAAAGTTACATGCAAATGTATGGGTATGATAGACAATGAGAAAGATAGTACTGTGACGTGCAACATGGTGTGTGGACCAATCGTACCCATATATTGGTATGCAACTTTGTCTTATGTAACATCGGGTAACTATCATGGCCTTAAAATAATGTGAAGACTAGCACCTTCTTACTCCATGACTATGATGCCTCACCACTGTTTTTGTGTCATTAGTTTACTCCATTACTATGACGTCTCCCTAGATGAGTATACTGCAGTGCTCCAGGGAGCTGGGGGCCAGTGGGATGTAACATGCTCCGCCCCCTCCGAATCCTCAACGTATTACATCACCGTAATGACGTGGGAGACGGCTGACGGACGGGAGTTGAGCAGGTCTCCCAACTCGAACTCCATTCTATACTCAGCTCCAGTTGAGGCCACTCTGGAAATGATCTGTTACGCATACACTGTCCATACGAGCGTGCAGTTCCTGCAGTTCTTCGTACTTATAGCACAAGGTACATGCATGGTTATGGATTTACAGAGGTGTTGGTGTAGATATTTTGATGCTGATATGCATTTGCCTTGTGTTGTGACTGCCCCGATTCATTCTGTAAGTGATAACTCTGCCACGACACGTGTCGCTGATTTCAGTCCCGCAAAGGGCAGCTCTTTTTCCTTGGAACGTAGTGTTGTCCTGGGCATGATTGGTTTGCATTTAGTTTTGTTTCATACCTCACTCAAGATTCATGCAAACTCTGTTGTATATACAAACAAGCTGCTTTCCCGGTCTCACTATATAGAGATGGCAGACATTATCCGTAAACAAGTTGCCTGGCCATATTTATGTCTCCTCAATCTACCATATAGAGTTCTTAGTGCAATATGATATACCATATAGGTACTGTTATAGGGTTCTCATCGACAACATACGCTGGAACTGAGACAAGTGGAATTGTCTCTGTGTGTGTCGAGGTTTTCAACCCTTCTTCTGGTGGGGCTACCGAGAAATTCGATGTGACTTTGCTCTCCGCAGAAGTTAGGTGTTTTACCAACACTTCAGTGTTTAGTGTATCGCATTTCAGAACTTTCCGACGGAGAGCAGAAGGTCCAATGTAGCACGTTTGAATTTGAGCGAGGAATGTCTGCCAAGTGTCATGAGTGTGGCATCATTGATGATGACGTGTGTAGTGCGAAGGAGAACGTTACTGAGTATGAACTGATCCTCAGTGTACCACCAGGTGATAGACTGGGTGTCGATTCATCACGAACTACGACTAATATCACCATTGATGACAGCAGAGAGACAGAATGTTGTGAGTTCTCAACCTTATAGACAGCAGTCACACGCAATTCACCAATCAAGATTGGGGTGGTTGATTTTTCATAGACACCACCTCGTTGCAGGTGTCTTTTGTCATTTGCAGGTGTTTATTAACACAGTACAAACACCTTAGCACCACTTGATATCCCTCTTTATTTTGGAGAAATGACTTTTACACTTGTAACAGCTATTACCTTCCAACCCTAGACGTGAGGGTTGGCTACGAGAGCTCGAGCTATACCATATCAGAACCGAGTGGTAGAGAAGAGATTTGTGTCACTAGCCGGTCTCCGGGAATCGATGAAATGTTCACCATCAATATTGCCACCCACACCTCACCCAGTAAGATTCATGTCATGACTGCAGTGCTGTACGTTACGTTGTGACTACAGATTCAGTGGATCTCTTCCAGCAGACTACAGATAGTCTTACTTTTGATGGCACATCTCATACACAGTGCTACGAGGTCACCTTTAACTTTGACGTGGAAAACATATGCGAGCACTTTGACTGCAGAGGAATACAACTGGAGTCAACACTGACCACAGCTGATGAAAGTGCTCGTGTTCATATCAATACATCAACTGCTGTTGTGATTATTAAACTACCAGAGAACTGCACATGTACCAATGAACCACACACCCTCTCTAACTCTAATGACAACAATTTCAAAACCGTAACGGCTATCATTTCTTCACTGGTGGTTGTGATAGTTATTCTGGCTGTCGTGGTGCTTGGTATGCTCTGCTACAGAAAGAGCAAGAAGAAAGATCGGTTAGTTCGCACCTCATCCTCCCTGTAGTTTGATAGTAATTGCATCTCAAATTTACAGTTTTCTCCCTCGTGATTATCAACGAGCTGCTGTTGGTAAGGTTATTGCCACTGTATTTCAGTTCACCTCAATTTCACTAAAACCAACAGAGGGCGTCTCATTTGCCAAAAACAGTATCGATCCCCGGCATAAAGGTTTGATATATTGTATACTTGGCACACAATCCCTATATTGTTGCCTAGGTGAAGTATTAAACATTCAACATTACACAATAGTCTAGCTTGAAAATACGAAAAGTCATGCTACTACAAATGGAGGCAAGCTAATGTAACACCAACCATCGAACCAGCACACAAAGCATTTTCATGTTTGTCATAATCTTCTTCATCGAGATGGAGACCAGTTTTCGCCAGGGAATTGTTGTAGCTCAGTGCATCGCGTACTGGAGTGCTGATGTCCCATTATTCAGATGTTTCTTTGCTGTTTTAGCTGAGGTTGTGGCTGCAGAAAAACCCAGTATCACACAAGAGCCTGAAAATGAAAGGTCCTCTTTCCTTTCCGCACGACTGAGACGGCAGCTGAAGAATAAGAGAATGTTGATTTCTAAGAACGACATCGAGCTGTCCAATGCTATCGGTCAAGGTGCGTGTGTATTGTTACGTTCTTGTGTAGTATGCATACTTCTGCTGATGATACTATTGCATAGGTCAGTCTGGACTGGTCTACAGGGCGTATCTGACAACTGCGAGAGGAAAAGAACTGGTTGCAGTCAAAACTGTTAAGGGTGAGATAACAATTTTGAACTGCAAAAAAACAGGTTTTCTCTTTCTCAGCACTTTTCTCCAAGATTGATACGGTGCAACTGTCAAAGGAGGTGTCCACCATGTTGTCACTAGAGCACACCAACGTCATGTCTCTGCGAGGAGTGTGTGTGACTAACCGTCCGCTGCTGATCATGCCATTCATGACCAATGGATCTGTTCTGGAGTTTGTGAAACACCACAAAGATTCACTCCTTTGCATTTCAGAGGAATCAAAGGTCGAATTATACGTTTTAGTTATTAGTTTATAATGCCTTAGTAACACTTTATGTGTACGTACCTCATAAAAGGGTTTGGATATGAGATAAATGTTTTCCGTAGGTCGATTTATCCAGGAAGAAGTTGTTGAAAATTTGTCACCAGATTTCGAAGGGTATGGAGTATCTGGCACTGCAGAGTCTTGTTCATCGTGACCTGGCAGCAAGGAACTGCATGTACATATAGCTATATGAGCTAACAATAAGCTACTATATATACTAGATTAAAACCACTGAGAAAGAAGGACGTTCTGAATGAAGGACAGCTTCCGTTAGAGACACTTCGTTCTGCCTCAAACTAATACATATCCAAATAGGACACTTCTAAATAAAGAACACCTTCTATGTTCCCAATTAAGGTGTCCCTAATTCAGAGGTTGTAACATGTACTCCAGGATTGACCAGAGTGGAGTGATCAAAGTGGCTGATTTTGGACTCACAGAGGACATGTATGGCGCCAACTACTTCCGCAGGGAGAGGAGAGAGGGTGAGGATGAGGAGAAGGTGCCCATCAAGTGGATGGCTCCTGAGAGTCTGGAAGACAACATCTACAATGAGGCCACAGACGTGGTTAGCAATAAGAATATTGTTCAAATAGCTTTCTTCTGCCCACTTGCTTCGTACATCATCAATAGTCTATAGACTGTGCTTTAATGAACTCTTCCATTATGATGTGATGTTCAAGATCCATGTAATTTCAGATACTCAAGGATTTACTTATATACCTGCATGCCACTGAGTGATAATACTATTATACATTACTTCTCCAGTGGTCATTTGGAGTGACAGTGTGGGAGGTGTTCACCTGTGGGGGGATCCCATACACTGGTATCCCGATCATGTACCATCTGGAGGCAATAAAAGATGGAGTGGTGATGGAGATACCTCAAAATGAGGCCTGTTCAGATGAAATGTAAACAACTCCACCAAAATATAATCATCATACTGTTCTAAAGACTGGTGTATAACTATAATGGGGTAGCTACCACAGCCACGAATATCTTATTTATAACCAAATCATTTCCCCATACATTTTACTCCTTTATTGAATACAGATATAA